TTCTCCAGCCGCGGCCCGTCTCCGTGGCTCCTCTGGCCCTGCTCCAGCAGCTCCGTGTCTGTCCTGTGCTGAGGACCCCAGAGCTGTTTGTCCTGACATTCTGAGCCAGCTCAGCACTTTGGAGACCATCAAAGAGCTGTGCCTGCACGTTGGGAAGGAGGTGAGCTCCATCGGGGGGTTTATCTGGCGTCAGAGAGGGAAGGGCAGATCTTTGACTCAAAAGGGAAATGAGTTGGGTTACCGGTCAACAGATAAATTGGGAATTGTTCCTCTGTCTCATCACCAAACCAACCTGCCCCGTAACAAGGAGCTTTGTGAAGGGTGAAGAAGGCAAAGATAAATCTGGATGGGGTGGGCTCAAACAGGCTGGGGGGTCCTGCCCCAGGCCAGCCGAGGACCCTCCAGAACATGATTCCAAAAAGCAGCTTCAGCTGATGCCACTCGGTGTTTCACCATCTAAACAGAGACGAGTGACTTGTCCCCAGGGACAGAAAATGTCACATTGGATGAATACAGATGTGTCATAACATGTTCCTTTGTCTTTAGGGCACGAAGGGGATTTTTTTTTCTCCCTTGTTTTACTTGACTTTCACAGTTTTTTTTTTTTTTTTAATCAGAGAAGATGAAAAGAATTAAGGTCCCATCCCTGCAGTGCTTCAGGCACAGAACTTCCCAGTGTATCAGCTCTTTTGCGGGGATCCCTGCATTCAAGCCACATATCGGCACTGATGCTCTGAATTTGCTTCTGGGTTAAAAAAGAAAAAAAATGTTAAAAAATATAAATCTGCAAGTCCAGAATGTGGCTGTTCCTGTGCAGAGGGAAATATTGCAGCTTCGTGATTCACTGCCATCTTGTGATATTTAGTTTTTTCCTAAAGGAATCAACATACAAGATCAATTAAAAAAAAACCCAAAACCCCAAACAACACCCCTCAAATCTGTTCCTAGCATCTATAGTTTCAGAGAAAAGCTGGAAACCGTGAGGCTGATGGACTCTGAAACTCATATTGCAAACAACTAAAATGAAAAATTGTGATATTTGTTGCTTTTACATTTTTATAACATGTAAATGCTTCGCATGGACTATATTATTTCATTGAAAAGGAAGCTGGAATTTTCCTTGATTAGATCTCGCTGTGTGCGATATGAAGACAAGGATTTCAATCTGATTTTTTTGGCGTTTGCCTTCGGGTGGAATGGCAAAATTAGGACAAGCTCACTCAAATGAGCTAGTAATTATTATTCTTATTCCTTCCATGTACAAGCAGAGTACCTGGGCACTCTTGTACTGCTTCAGAGAGGAAAAAAAAAACCCACAGTGATAAATGCTGCATAATGCATGGGCAAAGTTTAACAGAAAATAGGGATTTTTTAAACAGAAAATAGGGATTTTTTTTAAAAGACAAATAATCAAGGGACGTTCCAGCTTTTTAAAAATCACAAATGTAGATTGGACAAAGCAGCAGGAAGCTAAACACTGAAACCACCCTGCCTCTAGTACAGAGGGTAGAAGGAGTAGGTGTCCTTGCCCAGAGCTAATCTTGCTGCGGGATTTGCATCCAGATCATCCCAGAGTGATGAGCCCGGGCAGAGCTCAGCTGAGCACCCCAGCAGTTCTGAGCTGTGAGCTACAAACCGCTCACGCTCACTTCCAAAAGGAGCTATGAGAAACTTGATTGCAATTTTAGGATGGTAGATACTCCAAGTGAGCAGTCACTGAAGAGCTTTTAAATTTTTATGAATTCAGAGCACCCATAATCTTCAGTGCATCCCAGTATTTTACTATATTTTACCGCCCTGTATTTTACCGTTAACTGTGCCCGACGTGATGGAAAGCACCATGCTGACACAAATTAATATGGTGGCTCAGTTTTGTGCTTGACTCCTTAAAATTTTCCCTAAATACCTGGGGAGGATCTGTGTTCTCCATGAGTCAGGCAAATCTGGTATCATCCTGCAGGACTGTGGTTCCCTGCAACAGAGGGTCAGGCCCAGTTTTAAACAGTGGGGAAGGAGGAGAGGAGAGCACTGGAGGTGCTGATAGACCGTTCCACCTCTCCACCAGCATCCTGTGGGAGCGGGTCCAGAGGAGGCCACGGAGATGGTCAGAGGGCTGCAGCACCTCCTGTACGAAAAAAAATAATCTCAAACACAAATCTCTGCAACTCTTCCAATATTGTTTATTTTAATACAAGAATAGTTTAAGAGAGAAAAAAAAATCATGGCAAAATCAAATTTTGAATAATTCAGAGATTTTACAAGCCTCAAATCTCAAGTAACCTCTCTGCTGGTTGTGCAAGGCAGTAACGACGGACGCATCTTTCACCCCAACTGTGCTGCACTGTAACTTGGCACTCCTGCAGAGTATCACATTCAGCAGCAGTGCAGGGGTTAAAAAAGGAAATATGCTTCCTTCCATTGTTTTATTGCTATCTCATCTCACTGATAACACAGCTTGTAGTCTACTCAAGTTAGCTCTAAGTTTGGCAGAGACAAAACCAGCCCCTCTTGCCCTACTCAATTACTGTATATCCACAGAGATTCTGTTGACTTCAGAAAGGAGAATTAACAAAGCATCAATTAGGCTATTCAAAAAAATAAATATTCCTAAGCAGGAAATATCCTGACCCCTACAATTAATATATTAATAATCATTGTAACATTAATTGTATGACTCATAGTGCCTGAACTTTTTCACTTAAAAAAAAAAGCCAAAACACACAGAACACAAAGGCCATGGGGCGGGGGTGTCTGAGGCTTTCAGACACTGAGCTGGCTCTTACTTCAAAGGATGAATCATCAGGAGCCGGTTGGTATCACTGGAATCGGCCTGCACAATACATGAGGCGAGTTAGCCTTTCCCTGGAGGTGTTTCTGTCTCTTGGCTACAGAAAAATAACGCAGCTTGGCTGCAAGAAAACTTTTGACATTACATAAACCCAGCAAAACATATTTATATAGCAAATGTATTCTGAAATAACCTCTGGAAATTCTCACAACTTAGCAAGCACTCTTTCTACAGTTTCAGTATATATTTCAGTAAGGACAGAGACACCCTTGCAGCATTTTCTTTTTACTCTATCCTTCCAGTGTTGATACAGAAGACAAAATCTGCAAGCTTCACCCCTACACTCCTATTATTCTGGGCTGTGTATGTCGTTGCCACAAAGTTACACAGCTCCAGAAGTCCAGAGCAAGCCTGGAGAATTCCAAATGCAATCCAAACCAAATATATTTGATATAGACACCAGAACCTGGAAACAATAAAAAATTTGGGTACAGTCCCATGAGACTGACTGCCAATATAAAGTAATCGTGTACAAATTACTGATATTCCTGGGGTACAGGTGTTTCAGCCCCAAATTCTTGGCTAGCTTCTCTTGTACAAACTGTCCTATTTTACACCAGTTCTACAGAATCAAAAGCAAAACTTTTGATCAAGTCTTGCAGCTGATGCTTAAAAAGAGCACCCTATCTTCAAGTACCGCAAATGGACTAGAGGGGTTCTTTGTTTTTAATTATGTAGCTTTTTCATTAAAAGGTTAATCTCCTGCTGTATTTTTTTTTTCATGCTACAATATCATGCCACAGTTGGAGCAACAGCTCGGCTGTCAGGCTGGAGGTTGATGAGGGAATTGCTTGCTTGGGCCAGCTCTGTGATGGAAACTCGTCCTCTCTGTTTGATGTACTGCGCCACGGCAGCCATCTCCTCTGGAGTGATGTAGATGAACTTTCCTCTGTCATCAATCACACCTACGGGGGGAAAGAAAAGGACCTTGAAGTCAGCACTTTGGCTCCTCTCACTTCCCGACAGACATCAGTCACTTCTTTTGGAAGGGACGTTCAAACTGCTGAGGCTGCATTTCATATCTAGGGCAGGCGGAACAACGCGCCAGCAGCCGGGCTTTTATCTCCTCTCTGCTGTTGGCTCTTTGAGCGGGGCAATGACAATAGCCGAGTGCCTCGGTATGACTAATTTTGCTCAGAGTAACACGTCCTTTTCATTGCGTGCAGCCAGCTGGGAGTACCACAGCTGCTACTTCAGGTTTGGAGTTTTGGTGCAGATGTTCTGAGCCCAGGCAGCTGGTGGAGAAAGGCAGAGAAGCAGGAGTGCCCAGGAGGTGATTCAGAGTCTCCTGGGGCTCTGCTCAGCCACTCCAGCTCACCGCTACAAGGGAACAAAGCTCAATTTCCATATTTCAGTTGCTCCATCAAGAGCAAGAACAGACCTCTCCGTTCTTGACGTGTTACAGGATCAAACGGGAGGCAGAGCGCCGCACTGTCATGCCTTTTAGGCCACAGACACAGGACAGTACACATCCTGGCACTTTGATTCTGACCACTTTTAGGTCGTTTGAGTGGGTATCCACATGGACCCAACACAGCTGTTTCCCAGCCACGACCACAATATCAGGTCAGGAAATGTTTGCGTTGGCCCCTTCTCCTACTTCATCCTTGGAAAGAAAAAGGCTGCCCAGTGATAAAACAGACCTGTTCAGACAGGGAGCTACTCACACGCTCAGTCTCTGCTTACGTTCCAACTTGGATTGCGTGGGTACATGGCTAGGGACACGCACTTCACTAACCACAGCATCCTGGATGTTTGCTTCTCCCACGGAGTGCTGTATCCCGGCTTTAGCCTCAGCACCTTTCAAACAGACTTGCAAACTACCCCAAAACATCCAAGTGATTCTTGCAAATTCAGATTTCAGCAGACATAATTTTCATCTGGCTGCTCAGCAACGTCTAAAGGCCTTCAGCAGGGCTGAACCAACATGCAGAAGCCTTCTGCTGCTTCCTGAACTGCTGGGGACATTCACCTCCAACCTCTGTATCACATATCATAGGAGCAATCACATCCCATCATGCTTTAAATAGTAGTTTAACAGTGCTTCAATCAGTAGTTTATTATCCCTCCTGAAGAAGGGATAATAAAAAATCCATCATAAAAACAAAAATATCTATTATTAAAATAAAAATATCTATTTATCAAGTTGCACTAGGATCTTTTACAGTTTAAAAGAGAAACTACGCTGGAAGTCTCTCTCCACCACAGTGAAGGCACCTTCTGCACCCCCTATTCACCAGCTAACATAAAGTCCCCTTGGTGTTTTGTTTGTCACCTGTTAGAGTGCCATCTGCCATCAGGTCCTGGATTCTGTTAATTGCATCCTGTTCAGAAGGGAAAAAGGAATAAGAAACCGATTAGAGGAAGGCAAAAAACATTTCAGGTTTTCAGATAAACAGATAGTTACTCCAAGCATACGGTTCCACTACACTTTAAGCTTGTATCTAAGCCTTGTTCTCCACGGTTCTGCCTTTCTTGCCTTTATGGGACTGGAGAAGCAAGTTATAGCTTAGATTTCAACCAGATAAATCCCCTTAACTGGCTCACTGTGTGCTTAAATGAAGTTCTGGTTTAAGAGAGACGCAGGGGCACAGCAGCCTGGGCTCACAGCAGTGTCAGCTGCTCTGAAGGGGCACCCCAAGATCAGATCAGGTACAGAACCAACAGAAAACATTGGTCCCTTAGAAATATATGTCAAATGTGCTCAAATTAAAATAAACCAAGCCACAACTATTCTTCAGAGTCAAAACATGAAATGTTTAGAGAACAGAAAGAGGACAGAGGGGGGAAAAAAAAGTACAGATATCACACCATGATCTCACTTTGACAGGCTTATGTGGTGCTGAGAGGGACAATATTCTTAACTAATGCACCAGAAGATACAAATTAGAGCGGTCGAACACTGGAACAGGCTTCCTAGGGAGGTGGTCGATGCCCCAAACCTATTAGTGTTTAAGAGGCATTTTGGTCATCCCTGAAGTGGTCAGGCAGGTGGACTAGATGATGATTCTAAGTCCTTTCCAACAGAAATATTTTCTTTTCTTTTCTATTCTATTATATTATATTCTTTCTTCTTCAATGTTCTAAGAGCACACAAGCAATTGGAGCAAAACACTTCCTCTACTGACTGTCTGCAAACGTAACAACATTGTCCAATTAAGCAGGCAGCGTCTGAATTTGCTTCTAGCTCTGCTTTTGATTCCCAAGTACCCTGGATTGCTTTGTTACTGGATTTGCAAACGCTATAGGATCCATTAGCCAACGGGCAGCTGTGCAAGAGGCAGACTGAGCATTTTTCACTTAAACAATTTGTAAGCCAACAATCCTGCACTGGCTGGCTGGTACTCTGATGAATAGACACATCTTTAGGGTTGACTTTGCTGATCTTCACCCAGCTCCAAACATTTTCAGTAATGCCAAGACACTTGCAGAGATGTTACCCTTACTTACCGACTTTCTCTCCTCTCAAACTCACAAGTTGTACTTACCTGCGTTCTTAAACCCAAATGCGAAGCCAAGTCCTCCAGCTGGATTACCTTTGTTTTCTATGGAAATAAACAGGAGTTAGAGGGTTAGCGTATTTCTTTTTCTTTCAAATAAAAAAACACATTTAACAGACAAACTAGAACCTGTAATTCTAATTAACTTTTCCTAGCAGGCACTTTTCTTCAACAAAAAAATCTTAAGTTACTTAAACCATTCTGCTCTGTGGAAAGACTGGATGCTCTGACCCGCTTAGGCAAAGACTCAAATACATTTGCCAGCGTTCATCCTGAACCTTTCCTTACGTGAGGAGGACAGGATGAGCACAAGCACAGCACGCAGCCATGGCGCAGTTCTCCCTGCCACCCCAGTTTCTCAGCTGCTGCTTTTCCTTTTTGATTCCTTTTTGTTTGAGAGATGTTTCAAAGTACCTTTGAAATGATCACTGGTATAGATCAGCGCATCCATAAAAATCCAGACAAGACTGGCAGCATTAAGGGCTTTAGTCTGTTTTAATAATATCATGCGTATTAATGCCATAATAATCCTCCTAAGCAAGCGAACACCTTATTAAAATTCTCAGTGCTGGAAGTGTACTGCTAGCACACTCCTGCACAGCAGCGCGATGATCTCTGAGAGCAAAGGCAGAAGCAGGAACTGCAAATTTTCATTTTGCTTTGGAAAGAGATTCTTCCTGCAGCCTTTCTCAGTCAGCTGGTTTTATGCTTCTCTGTAGCTCCAGAAAATTAGAGAAAAAACCACCTGGTGCACTCATCTGGAGCTACTTGGTTCCTGTTTTCTTATCTGCAAAAGTTTTTAGAAACTCTTTTGTTTAGATGCAGTAAAAAGATGCACTGTTTATAAAGAATTTGGAAAATATAAAACTTTTGAAAACTGTTCAGTTACCATTTTGGATTACATTCCTAAGAGCCATTTACATACAGCCACAAGAGCTACAGTTACATTATCAGATGCAATACTTCAAACGATAAACGCATTTGTTTCTGATCTGGAGAGTACACTGAAGAAATAAAGAGAGGCGGAAATAGATTAATCTTTTTAACTAGTAAAATCAGACAAAAAAAAAAGCCACACACAGACTTAGTAGTTGTGAAGTTCGATGCAGCCAAGCTAGAGAACTGAATACCATGGACTGAACGCATGGAATTGGAACCAGTCCATGGAATTCAGTTCTCAGAGCTGGGACCTGCCAAGATTCGTCACATCTTCTTTTAAAAGGATGGGGAGGGGGGGAAGGGGTGCAAAGACACATAAACAAGAAAAACAGGATTGAAACCTTCCCTTAAAGATATCCACCCTCAATGACCACATTTACAGGAAGCTTTCCAAGGCAGATCCTGCTGGGAATAAGAGCCCAGAGCGTGGGGTGGAATTAGGATGCGCTCCCCACACGCACTCTGAAATATCACGACATTGTGAGGTCCCAAGCCAACAAAACACTTCAACGCATGCTTCACCTTTTAAAGACAGGCTTAACTTTCACAGAGCAACATATACACAGCTACACTTTACTGAATTCATGTAATTTTAGGTATGATGCTGCTGCTGTCATCAGCAAGGGATGAAACAGAGCAAGAGCTCCCAGGATTAAGATGAGTAGGATTTTTTTTCCCCTTATGTTGTAAGCATCATTTTTCTTAAAGAAAAAACAGGGAAGAGTAAAGCCTCTGAGTCCACTCTAAGAAGAAAACACGGGACGGCGACTGCAGCAGAGCCACAGCCAGAGGTATAACGTGGTGAGATTGGTTTAAATTGGTCAAGGGGCTACTATGACAGCCCCAAAGGAAGGGAGATGTTCAGCTTTCAGAAAAGCAGAACTGGGGGGGGGCATCGATCCTTTTGGTGGCTTTGAGAAAAATCCCATTTAAAACAATCCCATGAGGCAGAGCTGGAGAAGAGGCTGTGTTTTTATTTCAGACATCCTCAGGAATGAAGCATGGGGTGAGCTACCTCCAGCCAGTTAGACCAGTAAAAGAAGTTATTCAACAGAAGAGCTAAATTAAATTTTATTTTTTAAAATGCCAATTGCTCTTTTACAAGTTTTTCAGACAGCTACTAGCAGCTTAGCACTGCTTGATATAAGCCAATGGTTTCTGTGACTAGAACAGAAGACGAGGGCTATACATAATCTATATATTAAGTATACTTTCAAGACTGAAAAAAAAATACTGAAACTTGTAAAAGAAAGCCATGTCCTAGTTCTGCAACTCATCTCTACATAGGAAATCAGGTGTTGAAGCGCTTCCGAATTAGGTTTTCAGCCCATGCTTAATTTCTCTGACGTCAAGTAGAAGTGACTAATATAAAACTATACAGATGTGTCTAAACACTGAACTGAGAGTTTGTGACTAATCTGTTCCACCCATCACAAACCACCAGGGCAACGGGCAGAATCAGCCCCTACCGTGTTATCCCTTGGAAACTCTCCCAATTTTTGTGGAAGATCCCAAGGGACATTGGAATATCCTATCGTTCTACCTGCTGTTATCCCAGGGCAGCTTGTTTATCAATAAGAACTGGCACATTTTCCTTAATCCGCAGCTTGGCAGGATCTTGAAAGCCTTAGATGGGGAACGGGTGAACTGGGATCACGCCGTATCATGTAGTCCATTTCCAAATTTGTATCGAAACAGAGGGTGCTCTTAACAGACCTGGCCATTTCAAAGTTCCCCTCCCTTTCCAAGAAATCTCTCCAGCTTCTGCAGGAAGCAGAATATTGAAGTCGCTGAACAGCTCCAAAACGATACGTGCCATCCGATGGTTCATCTGCACTCCATGGTTTTTTTTAGGCTCTTTAAACACGTCACCCAGAGCTTTTCCAACCTGTTCTTAGCTGTCTCACCTGCTTTTGGCAGTGCTTCTGGTCGAAGTTGACTGGTTTATGCTGGGGACTCAGTTACTGAACTGGGGCTATTTTCATTTGGGCTGCAGCAATGAAGGAATTCCTACGTCTGAGTGCCACTAGCCTGCACGTTTCCAAATTACAAACCTAAGTCCAGGTTTTTGCTGGGGTAATGGACATGCAAAACTGGCCCAGAGTCCAGAGATTCTGGATCAACAAAGCGATTAGGACACCACTAAGCATACAAGTGATCTGCTTCCAGTGAAGCCTTTCACACACACGCCATACATTGTCAGGTAAGAGTCCAGTTTCCAGTAAAGGAAGAAAGGGATGAATTAGGAGCAAAGATTTGTATAACATTGTTGGTGAAAGAAAAGCAAAATGCATTTGAGCTTTGAAATACAAATAATGGAGAAAGAAGCATTTGTCCTTACAGATCAAAAGTGGGAATCCTCAGGAGCACACCAGAGGGTTTAAATAACCAACCATACGATATCACGAGACTAGCACACCCTGTTAAAAACAAGGGATCTTCTCCTTAAATATCCCTTCCAAACAGTAAGCCAACATTGCAAATTGCACAGATAAACAAAAATCACATGAAAAGTTGGATTGACCTTTACAATGCCAGTGTTCCAGACACAAACACATCCTGCAGGGCAGGTCGTGCTGAGGTGAGATGTAGAGATTGTTTTCTAATCAGCAGCTGACATTGACAACGAAAAGCCTGAATGTCCCACACCCCAATCAACAGCAAATGTTGAGGTTCATAAACTCTGACAGTGATCCATGAGATGCAGAGTTTAGAATGCCCATCCTTATGAAAGAGGGTAAGAGCTACGAAAAAACCCAAGTCAGTAATTACAAACCATTTTAACAATGATGGACGTGCTCATGCATGGTGAAGTAACTAATGCAGATCTTATCTAAGGTATCACTTTTGTTACTTGTTGAACATCCAAGTAAATCAAAGAGGAAGGAAAGATTCCCCTTCTTTCTGCAACTCAGCTTTTTGACAAAGATTTTAGACAATCTAACCAGTATGGAAGGAGGAGAAAGAGGAATGGTAGCTTACCTTAACGTATTCGAGAAATTCCATGAGAAAGCTGCGAGACTGGATACAGCAAGGAAAACAATTGTTATTCTAAACTCATGGACATTAAATGCATCAAAACCAAATCAATCTAGATTTAATCTTAAATAGGAATTTATTGTAGATATTTTCTAGGACAGAATATGGCTCAAGCACAATTTGCATTTAGGTGTTTTCTGAAAGGACATCTTTGAATCTTTTATTCTTCATATGACACACACCCTGAAATAACCACATCTGGGCGAGTTTGTACACCGTGTCTTAAGTTACACATACACGCCGAGGACATTTTGTACAGAGGTGAAGTACAGAGTGATTCAGGAGCCGGCTCACGCAGATGGGCAAGTGCAGCACACAGCTGCGCAACACATGTGGAACTCCGGCCGTTTGCAAAGCTACGCACCTGAAATCCGGCATTTTCATACAAGCAGCTCAATTTTCAAAGGCAAACAATGTGCATTTAAATTAACAGGAGATCAAGTTACTCTGCAACCCTGGAAATCAATCAGCCTTAATTAACTGCTTAGCTCTGGACTCGGGACTTTAATTTTCAGCATGGGTTTCAGACTCAACAACACAAGGCAGCGTCAGCTATTGTAACAGGAGACTAAAACGCTTCCGTACATTTTCCACCACAAGGCCGAAGGGTGGCTTGCCGTTTCTGCAAGGCTGGTGTCTCCAGATAACTACGTGCCTGTGATTGTTTCTGAAGATGACTTTCAAATCACCGACTGTTAAAGTTCTGTCTTCCCACTCCTACCAAAGATTATCTCATATCTATACTGCCTGCCAAGCTGTACTGAGCGAGGAACACCCTTCTCTGTTCCCACATACAGAAAAATTAATTTCTTCTTTAATTTCAGACAATAAACACATTCTAGCTTTAAAGGGTACCTAAAGTGGAACAATTTAATATTTAGGTATAATCTGGTCTTCTAACAGGACAAGCATGCATTTTTGAAGGAACTTTCAATAGAAAGTATGCATTTTGCTGTTCTCTGCATCTTAGGAAATTCCCCATCACCAGATACAACTTTTCCTGGTGTTAATCCTGCTGTGCTGGAGGAATTTATCTGAATGGGAAGGGGTCCATAATGAGAACTTGTGGCTAATGTCAAGAGGTACTGACTCACTACAAGCTCCTCAGCCCAAAGCCACTCTCAGTCTCGCTAAGGGCAAATTCATTCAATTAACAGGGTGGCTTTAGCAGAGGAGCAAACGCACACATAGCCCTGAAAAATACTTATCATGAAATGCATTGGTCAGCTCCAATTTGGCAGGTTCAACCCAAGAGCAACTGCAGCATTTGATGGCAATTAAAATTAATCTAACAGATTTTCAGCAGACAGAATAAGAACACTGTCTCCTACATGAGTGGAACTTTTCCAAGTTTGCTGTGATATTATGTCAGGTATCCCATTTCAACCAGCAGCCCCAGCAGCGCATCTGCAGGCAGCAACAGGAGGAGCACGCTAGAACGTTACGCAGAGTTTGAAATACTATCAACCACAGCAATCATTTGCAACATTCAACGTACAATTTTCCAGCGTACAACCCGCAAGCACCTAGGTTGTGTCCTGTGAATTCTCTTAACAGATGCCTGTTAAGGCAAGAGCTTGGGTTTTCATTTGATTTCACAGCAGCTCCGTTGGTCTAGAAAATAAAACCAAAACCAAGCAATTCCTCCCAAGGTACGTGGGCACTACCAAACTCCATATTTAGCCTTGCTTTCATCTCGCCCGCTGTATATGGGTAGCGCAAAGTTGATGACAGTAAGAGTACCCGACTGCCAGGATGAGTTTTATTTCAGCCCTTACATTAAGGGAGGAGAGAACTCATTTCCAGTGATATGCATTTGCCTCAGTACTCTAAATTAATTTGTAGGAGTCTGGAATGAGGGACTATAGCATTCCCCAGGAAATACTCCAGGTTAACGTATGCCATGTACATAATTTAGCTTTTACAAGCAAAAATGTTTGTCTGCCTCCTACTTTCAAGTTTATTTTACAAGAGACAGAATGCAGTAAGGGCAACCTGAATCTAACAAAGATAAAGGAAACTGCAGTAACAGCCTAACATACATACCTCTTCCTCTGTCATCGATTCTTCAACCCCTTCCTCTTCAACTACAAAACTCTCCTTCAGCTTCAGGTACTCTTCATACTCTCTCTTCTCCTCTTCTTCCTTTGCCTTCCTTCTTTCCTCTTCCTGAACAGAAAAGATGACATGTGGTCAGTTTGCTCCTCCCCAGCTCAGGTTCAGTTTCAGGTAAAGCAGCATCTTCTTAAGCTGCAGTCTGGTTTTACTAGGACAGACAGCAGATAAAAAGTTTCTAAAACCAGTCTAAGTTCTCCCTTGATGGCATCATTGATGTCAGAAGCCACCCTGAAGGTAGGAACCATCTCCCATGGTAGTGTAAACCTGCACCTAGGCTGGTTCTTCACAGATCTGACCCCGAGCAGAAAACCACTCTTATATAGCACCGAGCTTTCTTCATTTGCATGAAGATGTTTCTTCTGCAGATCCCATGACAGGAAGTCCCTGCCCTTAACTGTACTTCGATGCAACATCCACATTTTCAGTAACTGGCCCCAATTCTGCTCTGACATGCACTGGTGTACACTGGGAGCGATCACAAAGAACAGTGGGGTTACACTGGTGTCCTTCTGGTCGTGAGAAGAAGCTGGTCTGTAAGAGAGTTTCAAGTAAAATCTCCTTCCTATGACATACAAGCAAACTGTGTCTACATGGAATGTAAAGAACTGTATGAAGTATTTTAGGCATAGGAGATAAGGTACAATTGTATTAAAAAAGGGTTTTTTACACATTTTATTGTTAACCAAAACCTACAGGCTCTGCTTTTGGTTCTTTGCAATAAAAATACTTTCCGTTACGTACCCTGAAAGAAATGTTCAAACCTTTAAAAAAAAAAATAATTATGCCAACCCAGAAAACTCCAAGCCTGACATGAATGAAATGGTGATGCATACCGGGTAATGTAGAATAGTCACACATTCACACAGCAAAACTGTGATTAGAAGTCTTGCAATGTGGTAGATTACTTAAAACACGTTTCAAATAAGAAAGGTTTTTACTGGGAGCTCATCTATTTGCAGCTTGCCATGATTTTCTTTTAAAATTTGTTTTGCTCTTCTCCAAAACACTCTACACGCGTAACTTCACACAGAAGAAAAATGTTTCCTTATACAACAGCTTCTTCTGCGGAGAAACTTATGTTTGTACAGCACCTGGTACAATGAGATTCCAATTTAACTGGCCTCTGGTTGCTATCACATTGCAAAGGCTTGATTAAAACTTGGAAAGATGAGCTCTTCGAATTTCAGTGACAATCTCTGGGCGTTTCTGTACTGTTAGCACAGGAATTGATCTCTTAAAGAATAATGATATTGATTTCTAAATGCCTGCCTGCTACATCTTTGGCACTAATACAGTAATTGCTTCCTCATACAGCTGGAAAGAAAACACTTGTTCCATTAAAACAGGAAGAGACGTGAAGAGGTAATTCAGTATATTGAAAAATGTTCAGATTTAAAAAGATGCCACGTACCAGCGCGATACCAGAAAGGGGGATGGGAGGGCTGCTCTTCAATAAAAACTGAAGAGAAAGTATACTTGGTCCCAACTGTGTTTAATCAAACTCCCACAAAGTCATGGCAAGGAATGCTACCAGCACACAAGCATGAGAATCACTGTACATGCAAACTCAAAACCATTTTTCTAACCGCTGTCTCATGAAAAAACTACAGATCTGAGGAAACTCTTGAGACAAAACAAGACCATTTTCTGGGTCATTCATCATCGTAGCAATTATTAGCAAAAGCCCAACAGTAGATTTTTTCCTTATAAGGGCTCCAGGTGCCAAGAACAACATACCCATATTCCATTTGGAAGTGACAGCAATTATTCTTTCCTTGTAAGTGCATTAAATTTAATCTTGATCCTGGAAATACAAGAATAAGGCTCTTCCCCTGGTCTGTTACAGAGGTTGTAATTCAACAGGATTTGAAATTAGAAAAAATAATCATCACAAAACCTGAAAATTGCTTTGGCAAATTTCTAAATGGTTCTACAGAAATATAATCAGAAGACAGCGTCCCATTTACAACTGAGAGTGACAATAACTAAGAAATCTTTTCCTGTTTCTGGAAAGTCTAACAAGAAATGAACAAGACTCGTTCCAGTCTTCCTTACCTACTTGAAGAACAGTACTTTCAATTTTATTAAAGCATACCAACACGTTACTATCAGTACTTCCAACACACACAGGAAAGCGTCTCTGCTGTGAGACTGGCCAAGCGCTCAGCTGCCAGTCCCTCTTTTGCCGTCTCCCTAAAAGCCAGCAGGAGTTTGTTTTCCAGATCCTAAATTCTGATGTTACGATTTCCAGGTGGTCTGAGCCACTGCTTTGGTACCTAAAGCATGTCAGCCCTCAAAGCCTCCTGTTTCCTGGTGGTTGCAGCCTCCTCCATATCACTTAAGTATTTCCAGAAGCTTTTCATTTAATAACTGAAAATCCCAGACACTTCCTGCACAGTCTCACATGCCTTACTACCTTAATTCACCTATGCTTCAATCTATAAAAAAAGAGAAGGATTTAGTCAAACGACAAACTGGTTCAAAGCCAAGAGGAGGGACGACTTTGCATAACTGCCCTGGGAGAAGGAATCAGCAACAGGAGCAGAAGCTGAGCGGGGGGAACCCTAGAGAAGTCAGGTTGTCTGTTAATACTTATTCTCAGCTATTTTTTTTTTCAGCATCACACTAGCCCTCTTCTTTTACATGTCCGAGTCATGCAGCAGATGCATTCCCACAAAAACCAGTCTGTCTGTATGCATCACCCCCACACAAACACACTCTCAGCACCCCAGGGTCTATTAATGAAACAGAGCCCAGTTTTTGTTTTTTTCATTCAATTCATACAGGGGGCACTCAGCTTGAATATAAATTTTAGAACCCCACATCTTTGTTCTTTAAGTTTCTCTGCCCCTCCCCATTCTGATCTCATTAACTGCTGTGGAGTTAAGTGGTAAAACATGTGGCTGAGAGGAGAGATAATGGCTGGGCCACCTCGCTTCAGCTTTAACCATGGGTGGGGTGGTGGGGAAATCCCAGCACCCTGGAAATTTGGTAACTGCAGATGCTCACCTTCAGTACGTTGGTTTTTTTTTTTCTTCTTTCTTCTCTCCTCACCCACTGAAACGTTATCCAAACTGGGGGCTTGCTACAGTGTAAAGATTTCTTTTTGATCAGTTTACTCCACTGCATGTGAAAAGAAACTCTCCCACTTTGATCATGTCTTTATTGGAAAAAAAAAATATTAATCACTCAAACCTTTCTTCCTTCTCTTCTTTTTCTGACCAAACATCCACGTTACCACTGGTGGATCGACTCTGCACTGACATCCCACTGCACCCAGTCCCAGTCCTCCCACTGCTCTCCAGGCTCCCTCCATCCACCTGCCCAGCGAGGACCTGGAGCTGCTGTGAAGCTCCTTTCAGCTCATCACCTTCTGCTGGCCTCTTACCTTGATCACAATGATTATTTCTATGATATCAAAACCATTCATAGTGCCAGCTGCGCCAGAACCCAGTCTTTTACCAGGTGAAACCCACAGTGACTTGAAAACTTTTTAGAGTTACAGCTGGAAGCACAGCTTGACTCTTGGGATCACAAATCCCTCTGGAGCCCCGGGATGCTGCTCAAGTACCTGCACTGTTCTGGTTGATGGATCACAGCCTTTGAAGGTTTCTCTTGCATTATTATTTTTAGCAAAGGGCGAGGACCCTTACAGAACTGCCCAGCAAGAAGATATCAAACCCCCGTTTCCACTTTCCGACGCAGTAACCCATTTAAGGTGACACTAAGTGATATTGGCCCATAGAGTAAGTGGCTTTTCTGAGAGCTCTAAGCAGCTTTCCTGGTGAGGGAACTGCTTGTGTGCTGGGCCAACTGTCCTCCAAATCAGATGAAGGACCAACCTGCTGACAAACAAATCATTTCTAGGCAGCTTATTCAACTGCAAAGTAGAAGAGATCTCATTGCTAGGGAGGAAGGTAGAGCAAACCCTGGGCTCTCTTCAGCCACCACCTGCTACCAGTCATTCCTTGTTTGTGGCTGTTTCTCTAATATACTGGTTCCTATGCCAAATTCTTGGAGGTTCATGGACCTAAGACATGCTCCCTGTATAACATCCAGTTTTCGTGCTGTTAGTGCAGGAAATGAAACAAGACTTTACAAGTAAGTAATTTGGCATAGATAAGATGGATCTCTAGGATTCCTCCCCTTCATGTTTAGACACATAAGAAAAAAATACCTTTAGAAAGGCAGAATAAGTGTTCCTACCAGTCCTCATCCCCTCAAAATAAGCGTAGAATGAGTTCTCTGCAAGCTTTTCAACTTGTGCTTCCTTAGGAGAAATTAGTTTTCAGGAAACTGTATACACTTGAAAATTGATGCTTAAACTGAAACTACGTAGTAGGCTCCACCAGCCTCCAGAAAGGCACTGTTTATGTATGAACAGGGGATATAAATGCCAAACAGATAACAGAAAAGCTCTGCTGAGAGGAACACAAATCTCAACGTTCACATACTGCTACACATAATCAAATAACTCAATAATCAACATTTTCAAACTCGATGCCTATTCTTAGATGATCAGGTATCAAATCAAAGAGCCAAAACTTTAGTTTCTTGTTTCTCAGACTTCAGCAG